AAAGATCGCGCCAAGACGCCCAAGGTGGCTTCCAGACGGCCCAAGAAGCTTTGAAGACGCCCCAGGAGGCCTCCAAGAGCACTCCCGAGAGAGCCAAGATGCACAAGCTATTGATTTTCCAAGTTTCGACGGATTCTGGCATTCTCGCCCTTTCGGCTTCCCGACGCTCCAGGAAGGCCCAAGAGGCGCCCAATATCGCCCACATGTAGCCGAAGATGCATCCAAGATGGCCCCCAAATGGCCCGAGACGGCCGTCAGACGGGCCAAGACGCTTCCAAGACGGCCCAGGGGCCCCCAAAACGGCTCCAACGGGGGGCCCAGACGGGAGACCCGAATGGACATTTCGAGCCCTCGGCCTCGAGAGGCCCCCAGGAGGCCCCCAGGAGGCCCCAAGAGGCCTGCAAGAGGCCCCCGAGTGGCTCCAAGAGGCTCCCAAGAGGCCCCCAAGAGGCCCCCAAGAGAAGCAACATCGATTGATTTTTCAAAGTTTTGAAGCACTCGGGCATCGTAATTTGTTAGGCTTTCCCACACTCTAAAGCGGCCCAAGAGGTATCCAAGATCGCCCAAACATTGCCCAAGATGCCCCCAAGAGGGCCCCGGATGCCCACTCCAAGAGTCTCGAGGGCCCCAGGCGCCCCATAGAGGCCCCCAGACGCCTTCAAGGCGGCCTCAGAGGCCCACCCCAAGGGTTCCCCAGGATGGCCCCAGGCGCCTCCACGGCGGCGCCAAGACGACGGTCCCCGAGGCCTCCAGGACGCCCTAATCGACATTCAAAAGCGCTCCCCAGGCATCCGAAGAGCTAGCATTAATTGATCTTCCTCACGTGTTTGAATGATGCCCCCAGACCGCCCAGAAGACCTCCAAGACGCCCCAAGAGGCCTCCACGAGGCCTCCCCAGAGTGCCCAAAGATGCAGCATACATTGATTCGCCAATGCTAATGCTTTTTGAACGGTTTTGGCTTTCTCGCCTGTTCGGCTTCTCGACGCTCCGAGGTGGCTCGAGAGGCCTACAAGAAGGCCCAAAACCTGCCCAATAGGCCCCCAAAAGGGCTCCAAGCCGCCGCGACAGGGCCCCACGACAGCCCAAGAGGTCTCCAAGACGGCCCAACAGGCCCCCACCCCCAAGACGGCTCCAAGATGGAGTCCTGACGAGGGCCCCGAACGGACATTTCGAGCCTTCGGCTTCCAAAGGCCCCAGGGAAGCTCCAAGCGGCACCAAGTAGTCCCCGAGTGGCCCCGTGAGGCCTCCAAGAGCCCACCACGAGATCCCCAAGAGGCCCCCAAGGGAAGCAACATCCATTGATTCTTGAAAGTTTTGAAGGATTTGGGCGTTATCGCCGAGTCGGCTTTCCGACGTTCCAAGGCGGCCCAAGAGGCCCCCAAGATCGCCCCAGCATTGCCTAAGAGGCCCCCAAGAGAGCTCCAAGACAGCCCAAGAGTTCCCCAAGAGAGCCCTGGAGGCCCCCAACGCGGCCCCAGAGGCCCCCCAAACTGGCGGTCCCGTAGTAGGCCTCCAGGACCCTCCGATAACCCTGCTCGAGTGCTCCCCAGACCACCCCGCCCCAAGAGCCTCCATTCATGGATTTTGCTTTTGCTCTCCTGGGTCGTTCATCTGCGGGCAATTTTTGGCGAGTGGGGTGTGCATGATGAAGTTTGTCAGCCTTCCCTGTGCATGGAACCGGCGACGCCAGAGGCTTCGCATCGCTGGTCGTTGTTGTTTCATCACCTTTTTGCCAAAGCACCTCTGATGTGCACGGCTTCTGTCTCTCTCTCTCTCTATCTCTTTGAACGATTTTCGAGCTCTCGCCTTGTCGGCTTCCCCACGCTCCAAAAGAGCCCCTGAAGACTCCAAGGCCGCCCCGAGAAGTCCGGCGACTCCTCCGCAAACGCCCCAACACAGGGCGCCGCGCCTCCAGGGACAGGCCAACAGGAACCCTCTGCGATTCCAATCTTGCCCAAAATGCCCCTCCCTTTTCTCCATGCGCATTCCTCCTCCTCCGCCTCCTCCTCCTCCTCCTCCTCATATGCATATATAGCATACCGGGGGCCCAGGGCCCTGGGCCGGCACGCCCAGATTTGCCCCTCCCCCCCCCCACCCAGAAACCCTTTTTGTCCCCGGGGCGTCCCGGAGCTCTTTTGAGGCCTTGAGGTGACCATGTCGGCGTTTAGAGACTTCCCACATGGTGCAGGGAGCGGCTCACTCCTTCCACGAGGCCCCAGGGCTATCCCAGGAGGCCTCCAGAGCTCCGCAGAAGCTCCTTGACTGTTCCAAGAAGATCCCAACATAGTTTTCGTGTGGCCCCCCGGAGGCTTGCGAGGGGCCCCACATCGTAGAAAACCGTATGTTGTTTTCCGATGTGTTTCGCTTTGTCGTTTTTTCGCTTCCGATGGGTTCTTCAAGCCTGAAGATTGCTGCAGGATCGCCCCACGTCAGTCCTCACGCGGGCCCAAGACGGCCCGAGAGGCTCCCGAGACAGCTTCAGGACGGCCCAAAATGCTCCCGAGAGCAAACAATTTTGGCTCAAGCTCGAAGGAATGGTACCTCCTGATCGGGCCCCTGCCAGGCTCCGATTTCCTGTCGCGAGCCCAGTGCGCGTTTCTCGCAGAGTTTTTCCAGTATGGGTAGCGCTGCGCTGCATTCGTTTCTGTGAGTGCTTCTTATTTGTCCCATCGTATGTGTGACAGGCAGCAGTAGAAGGAGGATCCACAGGAATCCTAGGAGTACTGGGTGTCAATCACTGTATGATAGTCCTTGGGACCCGCCACCTGCAAGCGATACAGTGGTGTTCGATTGAACTCGGACTCTTGGCATCCCTGATGAGTATAGTTGTCGTTGTTCTCGGAGCGGTTCTATCTGCACAAAAATCCAGGTCAAAAGCGACGAGAGCAGCGTAGAATGATCCGACCCAGAGCGATGCGGCCGATGCACTCATCGAGAAACACGATGGTGATGATGGCACCGTTTTTCTTCGTTCAAGGTGGTGGTGGGTGGAATTCAGAAAAGAGTGGAGGCTGTGACTGTGGTTGAAGGGGGTACTGCGGCCTCCGAGCGTCTCAACGGCATGAAGGTTGCGTATCTCAGAGCAGATCCAGAGATATGTCGTTTGGAAGCGGGCGAAATTGAGGGGACTTGCTGCGTCAACACCAACATCGTATTGGGGTGGGCGATGGTGCTTGGTGCGAGTGCTTCGGTGCTTTTCATTGTCGTCGTAAGTGGTACTGACAATACCGTTTTCTTATTGTGTGTTATAAGCCCCTTCGCTATCATTTCTCTCATGTTTGTTGCTGGCTTGGTCTACGGCAAGGGCCCCTGTGGTATTTTTGACCTAATGATTCGTGCGGGTGCAAATCCAACCCGCGGTGCCAAAGTTTCAAGTGTCTAAAGATGATGATCCGCGTGAAGGTGCCGATGATCCGGGTGCAGTTGCCGATTATCCGAGTGCGAAGACTACGGCCAACTGGGAGTTCTGCGGCTTCATGATCCGCGTGCAATTGTTGACAGCATCCGCGGTGATCTCTGAGGCTTGGGAGTGGATGAGCCTGCCTGAGTGACCGCGAAATGTGAATAGCACTTTGTGCCATACTTGATGGGTTGCTCCTCCTCCTCCTCCTCCTCATCCTCATCCTCATCCTCATCCTCATCCTCATCCTCATCCTCATCCTCCCTTCATCCTGGCAGCTGCACCGGCCCAGAGCACATTCAGGATCGCACTCCCGTGAAATTTCTCTCGCTCCCGCCCGCCCGCCGCCGCTCGAGGGACTGGGTGGGTGGTTCGGGCTGGTGAGGGCCGATTTTGGCCAACTCGCTCTCTCCTCTGGGCGTCCGCCCCTGCTGGCAGTCCTCCGAACATCGGCGGCTTGGTGCGCTGTCGACTGTGGCGGCGCGGCCAGAAAGACGGACTTCGGAGGTCTGTCTCCTCTTCCCCCCCTTCCCCCGAGGGCGTCGGTTCACGGAGACCGTCGTCTGGACACTTCAACTCAGAACCGTTGGGTTGGAGACTTGACGAGCGGTTGAGTGCCGCCTTTTGACCGACCAACCCACATGGTGAAACAAAAAAAAAGATGTTCCCGAGAGGCACCCAGCAGGTCCCCAGAGTTTCCCTAGAGAGCTTCGGGAGCCCCAAGGGAGCCCTAGCACCCTAACAGGACCCCAGGAGGCTCGCGGAACCGCCAGAAGGCCCCCAGGAAACCCCAAGAACCCCAGCGGCACAAAAAAAGCCCCGAGAGGCCGCAACGCCCCCTGATCAGGCCCACTAGGCATCAAAATGGCCTCCAGTAGGCCTTCTGCAAGCTTTCATCCAACAAGCTTCTGACCTACAACCCAGGCGCGGTGGCGGCTTCACCCGCCCCCCTCCTTGCTACTTGGCCCCAGGCCATCCCCAAGCGAGCCATACGAGGGCCCCAAGAGAAGGTCAAGACTGGCTTCGCCAATTCAAACCACTAATGGTCAACGCTCCGAAAATTAGCCTGGCGAGGGACCCAACCATATGCAGTTGTGAATGCCGCAATTGTGTTGGGTGGTGGCGGACGCATGCGGGCGGTGCCACTGGGACCTTCGGTGGAGCTCCCTATGGGGCCACGAAACGCTGTACTGGGTGGGTGAGACGCGGTCAGCAAGGGCTGTGCTGCGTGGTGGCGGACGCATGCGAGCGGTGCCACAGAGCATGGGGGACGCTGTACAACGCAGGCTGTGCAGGGTGGTGGCGGACGCATGCGGGCGGTGCCGCTGGGACCTTTGGTGGAGCTCCCTATAAGGCTACGAAGCGCTGTTCTGGGTGGGTGAAGCGCAGGGAACAAGGGCTGTGTTGGGTGGTGGCGGACGCAAGCGGGCAGTGCCACTGGGTCCTGTGGTGGAGCCCCCTGTGGGGCCACGAAACGTGCGAGGGGTGTGCCAGAATGGGGGGTGGAACCGCATGCGAGCGCAGCCAGTGGGGCCTTCGGTGGAGCTCCCTATGGAGCCACGAAACGTGTGAGGGGTGTGCCGAAATGGGGGGTGGAACCGCATGCGAGCGCAGCCACTGCGGCGTTCGGTGGAGCTCCCTATGGGGCCACGAGACGTGTGAAGGGCGTGCCGAAAAAGGGGGTGGAACCGCATGCGAGCGCAGCCACTGGGGCCTTCGGTGGAGCTCCCTATGGGGCCACGAACGTGTGAGGGGTGTGTGCATAATGGGTGGGTGGAACCGCATGCGGGCGCAGCCACTGGGGCCTTCGGTGGAGCTCCCTATGGGGCCACGAAACGTGTGAGGGGTGTGCCAGAATGGGGGGTGGAACCGCATGCGGGCGCAGCCACTGGGGCCTTCGGTGGAGCTCCCTATGGGGCCACGAAACGTGTGAGGGGTGTGCCAAAATTGGGGGTGGAACCGCATGCGGCGCAGCCATGGGGCCACGAACGTGTGAGGGGTGTGCCAGAATGGGGGGTGGAACCGCATGAGCGCAGCCACTGGGGCCTTCGGTGGAGCTCCCTATGGGCCACGAAGCGTGTGAGGGGTGTGCCGAAATGGGGGGTGGAACCGCATGCGGGCGCAGCCACTGGGGCCTTCGGTGGAGCTCCCTATGGGGCCACGAAACGTGTGAGGGGTGTGCCAGAATGGGGGGTGGAACCGCATGCGGGCGCAGCCACTGGGGCCTTCGGTGGAGCTCCCTATGGGGCCACGAAACGTGTGAGGGGTGTGCCAGAATGGGGGGTGGAACCGCATGCGAGCGCAGCCACTGGGGCCTTCGGTGGAGCTCCCTATGGGGCCACGAAGCGTGTGAGGGGTATGCCAAAATTGGGGGCGGAACCGCATGCGAGCGCAGCCACTGGGGCCTTCGGTGGAGCTCCCTATGGGGCCACGAAGCGTGTGAGGTGTGTGCCGAATTGGGGGGTGGAACCGCATGCGAGCGCAGCCACTGGGGCCTTCGGTGGAGCTCCCTATGGGGCCACGAAACGTGTCAGGGGTGTGCCAGAATGGGGGGTGGAACTGCATGCGAGCGCAGCCACTGGGGCCTTCGGTGGAACTCCTTATGGGGCCACGAAGCGTGTGTGGGGTGTGCCAGAATGGGTGTGGGAGGGGGAAGTGGGGGGAGGAGTGAGGGAGGAAGGAGGCGGGAACGCGGGGCACCGTCTCTTCAAAACGAGTACCCAACACCACAGGATGGTTGGGAAAAAACAATTCAACCACGGCCGCGCGCCGCGGCAGGCGGTTTCTCACGGCCGTGCGCTGCAGTGCAGCAGGTGGTCTTCTTTCTTTATGTCTGAATTGTTGGCTGGTTCATTGCTTACGTTCGGGAGCACGCCGGAGGGCTCCGCGGCCGTGTGGTTTTCCGTTGGCTGTGTGGTTCGTTGGGTCGGCTCCGCGCGGCGACGTCGCATGGGAGTGACGCGCTGGTCCTGCGCGCGTGGCTGTGCACAGGAGGTGTGAGAGGAGTTCACGACTGGTGGTTGGGCCGTGCTACTAAAAGGCCCGTGCCCCTATGACGCCCTCCGCAGGCCTGGGTGGTGCACCCAGGCCGAAGGGGGGGGGGATAGGGGGCAGGTGGGTCTCTGCTTTTCCCTTGAACAGCGATCGCCCCGGTTGGGCACGCCTGATAGGGGCTCTCGCCGGATGGTGCCGCCGCTCCTCGTCGCCACGTCTCTGTCGTCCGTTCGTTGCCTTCTCTGCTCGGGCCTTGCGCGTCAAGGCTTTGTCGCGAGTTTTTTGTTGGGTTTGCTGCACGCTGGCTTGCGCCCAGCGTCGCGCTAGCCCAGGGGGGCAAGTAACGAGGAGCGTGGTTCCGGGCGGCGGGCCATTTGCGCGGCCTGTCGCCCAGCGATCGGGCGGGCCATTCGTGGCCCGTCCCGTCGCCTGCGACATCTCGTCTCGTCCCAGGGCGTCACGAGGCGCCACTCTAGCCGCGACGCGCGCTCAAGGGGGCCGGGAGGCGTCCAAGGTTGAAGCCGTGCTGTCCCGAGGCGCCCCAGCGGCCGCGAGACGCAGTGACATGGAGGTGCCCGGGGGCGCCCAAGGTTGGCGCCGTGGTGTCCTGGACGCACCCCCTTACCCAGACCCCCTCGAGCCACAGGAAAATCGCGACGATAATGCTCTTTCGGGCAGGGCTGGGACGAGGAGGAATCCATTCCAGAGCGTTCCGGAACGCCCTCAGAGCATTCCGGAACGCTCTGAGAAAGCCGCGGCGTCCGATACGTCCTCCAGAACCGCGGGATCTCAGAGATTCTCGATTTATCTTCGTCCGATTTCGTCCTCGTCCTGGCTTCGTTTTAGTTTACGCTATTCTCGGCCTCTGGGGGCCGGCAGCGGGCCTCGGGGCCGTTAAAGAACGACTCGGGATGAGAAACCGGTCTCAGGGAATGGGTCAAGACTTCTGGGGGTCGACGTGTTGAAACAAATCTTGATGTCGGGGGTCTGGGTTCCCAGATCTTCAAATCTTCAACATCCTGATGTTTGTCAATCTAGGCGTTTTTTCTTCGATTTCGACCCCTTGGGCCTGTTGTCGGGCTCGGGACGCACAGCGCACCCGGGAAACGAAGTCGGGAGTTCTGAAGCCACGGATTGAAAGAAACATCACGTCCATCGGAGGATGTCTGGTTTCTCAGACGGGTTGCAGGCTTCTGGGGAGGCTCCTCAGGAATCTCCAGGGCCCGTTTGAAGAGACCACGCGCCCTCAATAGCCCGCCCCCCCGGCCGTCTCACACGGCCACCCGCCTTTCGCCACCCACTTGGCGCGCGAAGCCAAGGTGTGGGGGGCCCGATGGCACCAGCGACGGGGCGAACCAGACGTCTGGTGGAGTGTTGTGCGTTTGTCGGATCAGTCTGGGCGGTTTTCCTACATCTTGATTTTTGTTATAATAAACCAGGGTCTTAAGAAATGGATCCGGGACGACAAACTACCCTAAAGGCTTTGCGTGTGTGTTTTATCCCTCGGTCTCGTTGCCTGCTTGAGCTCTGGGGGGGTCGCGGGCCCGTCTTGGTCGTTCCCTTTTTCGCCCTCCCTCGCTCCTCCTCCTGTCGTTGCTGCTTGTATGGCGGTGGTGGCGGTCGTATTTGCATCCGAGCGACATGTATAAGAGAGCGCGCGTGCCGCCCCTCGTCGGTGTCTTGGGGGACGATTGCGAACGCGTTTAGTTGTCATTTCCCCTTCGGGGGCGTCTTCGCGAGTCACGGCGGAACGCATGCTCGAAACATTGACGGGGACTTGTCCGCATTCACAGGTGAGGCAGGTTCTTCTGGAGGAAAAAAGGAGTTCGGCCCGTTGGTTGATACACCCCTCTCATAGGCAACCATCTGGGAGTGGTGAGCCGCCGCAGACCAGTAAGTTATCAGCGGTGGTACGCCGCGCAGGCAGATCAGCTGAGACTGTCTAGCGACGCGCTGCCCGCTGGATCATGTCACTTGCGCGTGCACAAGTGGACAAGATGGACGCCTCGGGATCCCTGGCGGCGAACGTCTCGGCCATCAATTCCGGCTGCCCAATCGAGGCTGAATGTGCCGGTGACGGCCGCGCTTTGCCCCGCTGACCGCCGTCGCCGCCACGGCTGGGAAGTTTCGGAGCACTGTCAGGCCAACGCAAGATGCAAGTCAACCAGACTTTGGGTTTGCCGTCGTTTTTTTTGACGAGCGCGCCGTGGACTTTGACGGCCCAGTTTTGGTGGGGCGTTTGCAGCGGGAGCCCGCGTCAAATTTCAGATTTGGTCTCGTCATGTTTATGATGGCCCCGTCAGACCAGACCGAGTCCCTCGTGCCCGAGTCTTGCGTCTCCCCGAAACTGGTGCCCCGCGTGGCGGGGCCGACGCGCTGGGGCAACCTGGCGCTGCGGGCGGCGCGCTTGGGCAACCTGGCGCGATGGACGGCGCCGTTGAGCAACCCGACGCCGCGCGCGACGCAGCGGGGAAAGTGCGCGACATGGGAAAGTTTGCCGCGTTCATGGCGAACCCAGAGGAGCCAGGGAAGTGGGGGCCTGCTTTGCTTCGCCGCGGTTGTATTCCAGAACCAAATCGGGCTGCCATGCCAACCCGCAATGAGCCAGAGCGCGCAACGGAGCGGCCGCGACAGTCAACCGAGGCGCACCACGCGACCGCCTTCCGCGATTCCACCCCAATGAGCGTCGAGTCGGCGCTGGCCACGCCAACGAGCGGCGAGCTGGCGCGGGCCCCGCCAATGGGCGCAGAGTCGGCGCGCGCCGCGCCACTGAGCACCGAGTCTACGCGCGCCGACCAAATGAGTGTCGAGTCGACGCGCCTGCGTTGCCGAGTGGCCCACTCAACGTGCCAGTCGCGCTGGAGGAGCGCACCCGGCAAAATCAAGAGCACGTCGAGAGCAGAGGGAGGGGCATGATCCATTCTTTTCACGGCGCGAGCATAGACCGCGCGAGAGCGAGCAATGATCGCGGCAACCAGCAATCGCGGGCCGTCAGACAATTAATCGGGCGACGGCGTGGCGCGCCAGTCGTCAGCAAATAATGCGCCCATCTACCGACTCCGAAGCGCGCGCGTCCGTCGGATGCGTTTTATCCCAGTGCGCCAGGGGCCATGCACATGGGCAGAAACAGATACAGCGCAGCCGCGCCTACTTCTATGAATAGCTCACAGCATGGGGCCAACGACTCAACCAGGCTGACACCAAACGAGAGAGTGATGTGCTCGCCCACAGACGGCGACGTGGCACGCCGTATGCTCTCCAGAAGAAAGTTGAAGCCCTGCGGCCGCAACGGCTCGCTAAACTATATGTGCCAGAACAGCTCAGGGGCCAAATGGCGCGCGCGTTGCAACCGACAGGAGTGGCGTGATGACGAGCCACGCCGCCCCCCAGAGTAAGCAAATCATGCGGGCGTCAAGCCTCCGCAAGTGACGTCGCGATCTAGACGCGCGAAATTGCATCGCTGGACACTTGGACAGAGGTCAGGGGCGCGCAGAATATACGAGGCGCGCGTGCAAATAGCCGTCGATTCCCCTAGCCAGCCCCAGCTGAGAACTGCCGTGGTCGCCGCGGGCCCGCACGCGTTGCGAAGCGAGGCTGGCGGCGAATTTGCCTGGCCGGATATGTTGATCGATGCGATCGACGAGACAGTAGCTGATGGCGGAACGAATTGAAGAGGCGCTTCTCTGCGATATTATTGCCCTTCTGCGCGCGGGGCATGCCGGCGCGCTGCGATTGGGCAGCCCGCTGCTAAGCAAGCCGAAGGAAGGCAGCGGGTGCCGGAGACAAACTCAGCAGAGCAGCGGCGAGTGCGTCGCGCCCGGAAATGGACGCCCTGGCCGGCCCAGACGCACCGCGCCAACGACGGCCCATTTGCCCGATCACTTATCCTGGGCGATCAACGCGAACGCGCGCCGCCCCGCTGCCGAGCACGCGGGGCGGCAATTGGCCGCGACATCGACACCTCGTCTGCGCCCCCGAGGCGGGCGCCGGGCAGGCGATGGCCGGGTCGCCGCGCTCGAATCCGGAATCGCGTAGTCTGTTTTGAATGCCCCCGCCCGTCGTCGTCTCGCGCCGCGGAGCGCTCGGCGCGACCGCGGCCGACCATCGTTGCGCGGCGGCGCGGCGGCGCGCCCCCTTCGTGGCGGGCTCTCTCAAGCGCAGGGCGGGCCTCGGACATTTCGCGCGGCCGCGCTCGTCATCGCCGAAACCGCGATTTTCGTTGGGCGCCGCGCGCGCGCCGTCAGCTGGGCGGCCAGGGCCCGTTCAGTCGCCGTTCGTTCAGCGATTGCGGCGCACGTCAGGCCGAGACGGCGCCGCGCCGCGATTCCGCGCCGCCGCGGCTCCGAAATCGCCCCGGCATCACGCGGGGGAAGGGCTCGCGGGCTAATTGGGGGGGATCCGCCTCGCCAGGGGGGAATCGCGGCGGCGCCTGCGCGTGAGACGCGCTCAGTGTTGGCGGGCCCCGTCAGCGCGAGACTCGACGCAGAATTTCCGAGTTGCACGTTGTAGGAAATTCATAAATGAGTTCAGAATTGTGGAGAATTTCACACAAGAAGGTCTCGCAGAAGAATGCCTCTGGAAAAAGTTGAGAAGTTCGTTGAACAATTCAAGGAAATGCTGCAACCAGTGGAAACTGGCTGTGGATGATGATATGGGCGCGATTGCGATCGTTGGCCTCTCCGCAGTACCCGCGCGAACGTTTTTCCCTGCATGCGGCGGGGCGCCGCGGGCGATTTCCTCGCGCCGACCCGGCGGGCTGTTGCAGGGGCGCGGGTCGCCCGTGAGATGCGGAAATTCCCTTGGCCGCCCCCAGGTCTGCGCTCGCCCGAGCCCGCCGAGAGCGGAACGCCGCGGCGTTCGCTATGGCGCGGTATTCTGCGCGCTCGAAGAGGGGCGGCGGTCAGGGGCATTCATTTTCCTCGAGCGCCCAGTGGCTGACCTGCCCCGCAGTGCTCCCGCAACGGCCGGGGTCTCTTTTGTAGCGCCAGACGAGGTCCTCGCAGCGGCGCGCCTCCCTGCCCCTGCAGCCGCGGCTGAGGAACGCGCCCCGCGACGTATCTTGGGGCCCGAAGTGATTGGTCGAACCGTGCTTCGCGCGGCATGGGCCGACCCTGCTGCCCCTGGGCACTTTTTCCACGCTCTTCCCGGAATTATTGCGGGGGGCGCCTGGCGCCCGCAGTTCTCGCTGTAGCCCGGCGCGCAGACCCCGCCTCGCGGGGGTGGGCCTCGCGGCGCGGGCCGTGGATTACTTTGCGATGAGCGGCGGGGCGCCGCGGAAGATGCCAGGCAAAACGAAATGCAAACCGAAGCTCGCCCACGAGCCGAGCCGCGCTTCCGAACGTGGAAGCAGGCTATGCGCGAGAGGGCGAGCTCCGCTTCAGGCAGACCATATCAATTCTTCCTTTCGCTCCGCGCAGTCGAGGGTGCCACGGCGACATAAGAGCCCCTCGCGGCCAGCGGCGAGCTCGAGACACCCAGCGCGCATATAACCGCCGCCTGCAACAACATCTTCGCGCGTGATGACCTCAGGAGGTGGGTCGACAGAAGGGGTGGAGCTAAGACGAACGGTCGTCTCGTCAAATGACGACAGGCCCTTTTCGCGATCATGGGCCGGCGCAGGATGGTAGAAGCACGCGGTTGCATCTGCGACTTCGCCCGTGTTGCCGCCGTGGAAACGAGGAACCATCATATCAGTGATTTGTCTTGCGGATTTTGGATTATGCGCTCCGAGGCCATGCCTCAGTCGCCCATAATTGAACTTTTGTTTTGGACACGGATGGAACAACATGGCGTTCTCAGCGTGATACGGGGGCATGCCATGGGATGGAAATACGCGACCCAGGCATAAGCCACGCGCGGTTTTCGACGAGCGCATCAAACCCATTGAGACAATACCTACAGATGGCAAGCACGGGCCTCGCATCAACGGACAGAGGCCGCGCAGCAATGCCCGCAAACAAAAGGGTCTGCAGCGCCTGCATCCGGAGAGGCTCGCGCAATCCTTCCGATTGCCCGTTGCGGCGCCCAGGGCATTCAGGGCAAAAGACGCCAGGGTCGATGGACAGGTCAAGCGTTCGCAAGTATTGCAAAGAGGCTGTCCTAGAGAGCATATGTCCCAAGCCGCGGTGCGAGGGGGGGCGCGAGCCGATGTGATCGCCAGAGTGGGCGCTGTAAGAACGGGGGCAAGTGCCGCTTTGAACGCGCGCGCATCAGCGGAGATAAAGGCCGCCTGAGATTCATGAAAGGATCACCTCCCTGAGCGCTCGCTCTCAGGAGGCCGCGCCGGCCCCGGCGACGAGGCGCCGGAAAATCCGCCCCGGCCCGCGAACGGGGAGAAGAGGCGCCCTGCAAGCCCGAAGCAAGGCGCGCAGGGAGGGGGGGGGAGCTCCCCCGGCGGGGCCCCGGACTGCAGGGCTAGAGCGCCGCCGCCGAGGCTGGCGCGCGGGCGCCAGCGGTCGGCCTCTCACGACTCAGGGAGGGCGCTCTAGTCAGCCCGCGGTGGCGCGTGTTGTTTGGCGGCCAAAGCTTTCCCCTTCGAGGTCAAAGTTGACCTTTCCGCGCCGCTCCTCTTACGGGGAAAACGAAAGGGCGCGGTTTCCGCGGCGGGGGGGGCTGCGGGCGCATGCCTCCGCGCGAAGGGTAACCGGTCGCCGAGCATGCCGCGAAGCTCCTTTACGCGCCACGTCGTTCGCCTCGCGCTGCAAGCGCAGCGACACCTCGTGTCTTCAGGGCGCTGTAATGTGGTTTTCAGAGGGTTGCGCCTTAGTCGGTGGCGTGATTAGATGTGGGCCCTTGTGAGTCGCGGTATGCTTTAGTGCGCAGCAAATGCGTTGCACTTCGCCTTGCTCTTCGCAGTCCCATCGCAATGCATTTTAGCGGTAGTAGACTCGGCAGGCACGCGGATTGCGCTGTCGCCCGACAGTCGATCGATACCTGCGCAGTCTGCATCAGTTCTTTCCTGCGTTCGGCCCTGAAGAGGCGCCGCCCGCGGGTTTTCGAGGCCAACGGCTCTGGCGGCAGGTCTCGATGGCTTTAAGCTTTCCCGCGAAGGAGAGAATCGAGGCCACATGTCGGCATCTTGCAGTGGGGACAGTCGCTGCTGAGAGTTTGTGTCTGAACACGCTGAGGTTCTTGGCTTGGGCGTCTGCTCTTGGTGTCGCACGTTCCCACGTTGGGCCTCTTTGTGGTCGCATTCTTGTGAAGGCCTTACAGCCGGTGTCGCCGACCCTGAAGGGGGACGACAACGGCGGCGGCGGCGGCGACGACGACGACGTTGATGACGTGGGCCTTGGACCTCAGGGATTCTTCTTGGGGTCTCTTCGGAAGGCTCTCGGGGGCCTCTGGGGGGAATGCTTGGGCCTGTTGGGAGCCTTTTGGGGGCCTGTTAGGGGCCTCTTGGGGGCGGTTTCGGGTTTCCTGGGGACCTTTTGTCTGCCTCTTGGGGCCTCTCTGGAACCTCTTGCCCCTCGGGGCCGAGGGGTCGAAATGCCCGTTCGGCTCCCGCGTCTGGGCACGCTCTTGAAACCGTTTGGGGGACGTCTTGTGCCGTGTTGGTTTTTGTTTGTGTTGTTTGGGGGTCATATTGGGATGTTTGGAGGCCCTCTTTGCGGCCTCTTGGCCGTTTTGGGGCGACTTGGGGCCCTCTTGAGCCGTCGTGTAGCGGCGGGGAGCGGAACAGACGAGAACCCCCAAATCGTCAGAACAAACCTGAAAAGTCAATGAATGTTGCCTCTTGGGGCCCTTTCTGTAGTGCTCTTGGAGGCTTCCTGGGGCGTCGTGGAAGCCTCCTGGGAAGTCTGGAGGGCGCGTGAAGGCGTTTTGTACCGATCGTTTGGCGATAGGGGGCCCTCTTGGACCGTCTCGGGGGCCTCCTGAGGCACTCTTGGCCTGTCTTGGTGCTTTCTGGGACCCGGGGACCCCAGGGAGGGATACGAATCTGACCCCCCTCCCCTCCCTCGAGACCACCCCCCGGGACCCCGCCCCCCGACGGGGGAAGGATCAAAGGGAAGGGGCTTCTTCTCGACTCTATTACACAGGCTTGAGGAGGAGGGTGCAGGGAAAGAGGACATCAGAGACGACGACTCACGGAGCCGATAACTCGAACAGACGAGCCCGTCACGCACGCTGACAGGGTCGGCGGATGTCGCGTTTCTCGTCGCTCTTCGTTTTGCGGCTGGACAGGCCTTGACACGCTTTGTTTGTCAATATTTTGCTTTTGCCCACGAACATATGTATCCGTTTTCAGCTACAGCCTGGTCGTGTGTTTCTTCTGCAAGCAGTTCCTGCACTGCTTCGTTTTCCAGTGGTTCCATTGCCTCAGAAGATGGACCACCACGCCCCCAAGGCGTTCGTCACTGCGTGCATCCCCAAGATCAGGGACGTCAGCGTCTTAGGTGTACTTTCGGGCGTTGCTGCCCCCTTTCAGTGGGGAGGGGCGTTTCCTTTGCGTTCACCGTCTCCCTTCAACTTGTGTCCGTTTTCGCCGTTTGGCCCGCTGGTGTTTTTCTCATGTTCTTCTCTTGCCCGGGGCCCTTGGGTAAATTTCTCACGAGCTTCCTTGTTGGGTTTTTGTCGGCGGGGGATGCGTTTTCCCTCTCGCGCTTGGCGGGATGTTTCACGGTGACCCCGTCTGGGCCTGAGGGGCCGCGGGCCCGTCTTGGTCCTTCCCCCTCTTTTCGCCCTTCGTCTCCCCGCCCCCCCCCTGCCGCTTGCGCGGCAGTGGGGGCGGTCTCATTGGCGCTCGGGCGATTGCAACTGTTTTTTTGGATGCGTCGTTTTCGGAGTCGCCCTCGCGAGTCGCGGCAGGGCGCAGGCTCGAACAATTGAGAGCAGCCTGGCCGCCTTCATAGGCGAGCCAGGGCCTTTTGGAAATAAGAAGGAGTTTGGCCAATTGAGTAATCAATGCATTTAGTGTTATAGAGTCATTCGCGGTTTTTCGGATTTATACATCAACCCCAGATTCTGCGTATATCTGTATCTTCTCCATATAGATAGATGTATATATATATGTGCCGGTCTAAGTACGTGAACACATGTAGCACCTCACGAGTATAGTTATGAATATGCGTGCCAGATGTACGGGGCGGGAGGGGAATGAGGTAGACGCATGAGTTGAAACGAGGATGCTGTTGTTTCACAAACTTGTGTTTTGCGCCGCTCGGTCTCCGGGGTGTCCTTTCTGGATTAGGGGAAATTCAGAAAATATAGTGTTGCGTCACGGGGCCGGTTTCCGCGGGCACGCGCCATGTGAAAGTCACGGCGCGGTGTATTGAGGAATGGGTGCATGGTAAGGGGTCGTGGGGGCATGGTGTGGAGGATGTGGGGAAAGGGGCAGGATGGTCAGGAGGGTCTGGCGTTGCCAGGCGGCCGCAGGCCCCCCATGGTCCGCCCATACCGACGGCAACGGCGGTGGCGCCGGCCCCGACGGCGACGACTGCGACGACGACGACGACGACGGCGACGAAGTCGGCGGCGGCGGCCTCGTTGGCGACGCAAACGACGACGACGACGACGTCGACGACGGTGGCTACGACGGCGACGACGGCGACGACGATGACGACGGCATCGGCGGCGGCGGCCCCGACGACGGCCAGGGCTACCGCGACGACAGCCGCGGCGGCGGTGGCCCTGACGACGACCTCCACGACGACGACGACGACGACGACGGCTGCGGCTGCGGCGGCGGCGGCGGCGACGACAGCGGCTTGGGGGCCTGCCAGGTGGCGCGGCCGCAATCCAAGGCGTCGGCCACTCCGGGCGCGGCGCCTGGCCAGGCCGCGCCCCGTCGTCCCCTTGCCATCGCGTCGACGCTCGACGATAATGACGTTCGTCGATGACAGACAAGACGGACGTTTATCTCCCGTGATTCGCTCGTTTTGAATCACAGCACGCACCGTGCTCGAAACGTCCGTGTCAACACGCTACGGGCTGCGCGTTGCGTACGGTTGGTTCGCGCCGTGTTGGCGCGGCGGCGACGACAGCTCAAGCGTTCAAGTTTGAACGCAGTCAGTGGCCCAGAGTCTTCCGATATCGACAGATCGGCGGTATTGCAAAGCCGCGATCCTCCAAGGTTGGACGGTCCACCCGACGTCAGAAAACAACGCCCGCGACATCGCGACGCCTGTCGGGTCAGCCAAGGGCGGACGTCAACGACGACGCTCGACGGCAGTGACGGCGAGCGGCTCGCCAGGCGCTGCGGCCGCTGTCCACGGCGCCCTCGCTCGCGCCGCGGGGGCTGAAGCGGCCGGCGGAGGCCGCGCAGGCCAGCCCCCCCCCATGGCAGCTCCAGGCCCGTTGCTGTCCACGCCGTTGGCGCCGATGCATCGTCGACGTCACCGATGCGGCGGCGATGCGGCGCGATCTTCCGACCCCATGTGCTCGGACCCCAGGCAGGAGGCCTCTAGAGAGGGGGAGCTTCGGGGCCCCTGAGATCAGGACATTGCGAACCAGGGTTGGAGTCGTCCGTTGGGCAGCAGGACGGGCGATCAGGTTGGAGGTTCTGGGTTCGGGAAGGTTGTTGCTTTTTTCGACCTCCGGGGGCCGGTTTCGGGACCCGGGCCTGGACCGTCTCCAACGGATCCGGGGACCCCGGGAGGGTTCTGGGGACCGATCTGAGCGCCATTAGCTTCATCCCCCCCTCACAACTTTTCTAGGATCCCAACCAGTTCAGACCCCCCAGTCGCCCCTAAGATCCATCCTCGATTGAATCGAGGATCGATCGACAGAAGACTTCGGTCCCCGATGGAAACGGGGATCGATGTGTTCTGGTGTTCCGTTTTTTGTTTTGCCGGGGCGCCAGATGCTTCCGCGGGCTTCAGCGCGACCTCCGGGGCCACGAGGACCCTCAGGACTCTTGGCTGGTGGCCCCCCGACGCTGCACCACCACCACTCCTCGCGATGGTGGCTCGGTGCCGCAGGCGACGACGACGGCGGCGACGGCGTCGTCGTCATCACCGGCGGCACCGAACGTTCGTCGACGGCGGCGGGACCGAACGTCATCGTCGTCGCCAGCGCCACCGCCGTCGACGTTCGGCGGTGGCGGCGGAGCGACCCGCCACAGGCGCTGCAGGCGCAGTCCAAAGTCCCCCTGCTCGCGAAGGCGGCGCCGGCTCAGGCAGCGCCCGGAGCGCCCTTGCCGCAGGCCAAGGCGTCCTCGTTCGCGCAAGGCATGCTCAAGCGGCCAGCGCAGGCGGGGCCGCCTCTCTGCCCGCCATCTCGTCGGAAGCTGAAGTTCACGGGGGGAGACACAGACACAGATAATAGCCGATTCCCACGAAAAGGTGGGGCAAGATGGAAGATAGGGGGGAAGACGACAACCGAGAAACTATGGAAAACATTGTGAATCCTGGGATCCGTGTGAATGTGTGTATAGACTGATGCATGCATGTATGTATGTATGTATGTATGTATGTATGTATGTATGTATGTATGTATGGATGGATGGATGGATGGATGGATGGATGGATGGATGGATGGATGGATGGATGTATGTATGTATGTATGTATGTATGTATGTGTGTGTGCGTGTGTGTGTGTGTGTGTCAATGGGCCCCGTGAGAAATCAATTCCACTTGCCACCGCGGGGGGAGAAACTTGCAGCCGCCATGTGACAGGCGCTCCCGTATGGTGAAGCAGCCAACAAGAAATGTATGCCGTGCTTCGCCCGCCAGCAGGAGAAGGTCGGGAAGGCAGGGGCTTCCGTTTTGGATGTCTTCGCTCTTATCGTCGCCACAGCGCGGGGCAGCTCGAGGGATACCACCGGGTCGGTTGCTATTGAGAAGGGTTTTGGGACGAGAAGGGGCTCCTGGAGGAAAGGGGGTCCTGGAGGTGTGGGGCCGTCTTCGGCTTCTGAGGGCCCTTCCTGGGCCACGACCGAGTCAAAGACGACAAACGGTCCCAGAGACTCACAACCCACCAAAACACCCCAACCCAACCCAGAGGCCCCAATTCGCCCTCCATTCCGAGTTGAGGGGGCGTAGGGGAACCGTGAGAAAACACATGTGGAACCCATGCCCCCCCCCCCCAACCCGAAATGTGGGTTTACGGGTTCGGCTGGGGTGCTCTGGCAGGTCGTCCGGGAAAGCCTTGGGGTCGAGGACCCGCCTCCACCTCTGGACGCCCGAAATGGGTACGGAAAGAGTGGGTACGATGCCCAACAGCAGTTCCTGTTCATTTTGAACAGGACTCGCTGTCCGCGCCGCCGCGGCCTGTGTCCATTCGAGACAGAAGGCCGCCTGCCCAACAGCGGCCGCTGTTGGTTTGGGACAACATTTGTTGTTGGACATTGTACCCATTATTTCGGTACCCATTTCGGGTGTCCAAATCCACCAGCACCCCTTGCCGCTCGCTCCAACCTCGGCGTCCTGGCGGTGCGGGGCCGTCTTCGGCTTCTGGGGGCCCTTCTGGGCCACTGGACCGCCGGCGCAACGACAACCTGTCCCAGGGGAAGCCGTTGGGTCGAGGACCCGCTTCTGCCAGCCCCCATTGCCGCTCACTCCAACGTCGGTGGCGGTCAGAAAAGGGAATGGGGCGAGGGGGGGCAAGCAGCCTTTCAAGCAGGCACCCGAGGCTTCCAAAAATCTAGGCATGCATCGGAGACATCTGAGGAGGAGGAGGAGGAGGAGGAGGAGGAGGAGGAGGAGGCGGCATCTCCGCAGGCGGGAGGGCTTCTGAGATGCCCCCTGCGATCTCAGAAGGCCCCCCTCGCGCCAAAACCCTTTATCGCGCCGCCGACCACCTTGGGAGCCAAGACCCTTGGCGCCCTGCGAGGGTCACGACGGCTCCCCCGGCCCCTCCTCCTCCTCTCCTCCTCCTCCTTCCTTTCCTCCTCCGCCTCCTCCTCCTCCTCCTCCTCCTCCTCCTCCCCCTCCTCCTCCTCCTCCTCCTCCTCCTTGTCCGTAGCCATTTTGGCTCAAGGCTAAACGTTGTGAAGGGCTACAGACGCCCGAGAATCAGCGATTAGCTTTGGGTCCATCCGTAGTCACGAAGGCCCTTGCCTTACACCTTGTGGCCACTGAGACCACGACATCCGTTCCATATACTCCATACATTCCATGTCGGGCAGGTCAGATTCGAGTGACACGGAGCACAGTACTGACCGCAGTCGGAACTCCCCTACTGCTGCTCCTACTCCTGACAGGCGTCGCCGCCGGCAGGACTACGACCGAGGATCTGAACCTCACCGTGGCGGGCGTGCCCCTCGTGATGACCGCGATCGGGCTCGAGACCGTGCCGAGCCCCGCGATCGTCGTTCTGGTCGTGCTGGCGCTGCTGGTCACGCACGTGGCCCTACAGGAGGGGGTCGAGCATCGTTCGAAGAGCCTGCTGCTGCTCCTCCTTTGCCTGCTGGCGATGGTGCTTCCCCTGGGCCCGCGTCTTCAACTCCTGTTGCTGGCATGCCCACTCCTGGCGGTGAAGACTCTGTGTGCGCACAAGACCCCTGGCGTGGTAACACGGACGTGCAGCAGATGGAACAGCGGCTTCGTGCCGCTCTTCACGTCGACACCGACGCCATCCGTAACGCAGCGAGTTCGGCAGCAGCCTCCGCAGCATCTGAGCAGCTGGAGGCGATTGCTGGGCGACTGCAGGCTCCCTTCATGCAGGAGCAAGCCCGCACACACAGACGCCTGGATGCCAATGCCCGGGAAATACATGAACTGCGCCAGCGACAAGACGCAACCTCCGCTGCGCAAGCCGCCATGCGCAGCGACCTTGACGCCATCCGCGAACAGCTGGCCATGGCTGAGGCGCAGATCCCCCTCGACGTGGAGAATCTGGCCAACTGGGACCGACCTCTTGACCCGCTCATCTTCTCGGTGGGTATTCCGTCGCCTGCGGCTCCTCAAGCTGTGCGTGCTGGCCTTACTTCTTGGGTTACCGACGCTAAGCTGCAGGCGGAACACATCGAGCTTGTGGGAGACGTCGTGGCCCGCAGGTTCACCGTGCGCGTTCTTGGCAATCAGGTCGAGGCCAGCGCCCGTGCAACTGCCCTGGTCCGCTGCCTCAGAACATCAACAGGGTGGCGGTCATTCCAGGTTCAGTCCACAGAAAACGCGGTCGTCCCTATGTATGTCTCCACCGATAAGAACCCCAGAATGGTTCGAGGGGAGGTGCAGACCAAGAAAATGTGCCACATCCTTGAGAAGATGTACCCTGACACGACCTGGCGCTGCCGGCGCGCCAAATTCCAGATCCTTGGGAACAGCGTCCCCTGCTGCAAGCTTGAGCCTCGTGGCCAGGACGAGCCTACCCGCATCCAGTGGAACGAGAACGCAATCGCCGAGCTCAACCTCGATCGCGATGCAGTCGAGGCTGCTTTCCGTACCGCCTTCTCGACGGCTGACGCCCAGTGGTTTGGGTGACAGGAGCTGGGCGCCGTGGGAACCTTACCAACGAGATGCTGGGCAGGGGCTTCGCGTCATCTGCTGGAACGCGCGGAGCTTGCTCTGCCTCAACACTCGCAAACGTGAGTCTAAAATAAAACTTCTTTCTGAATACATGCGGCAACGCTTTCTCGTCGTCCTCCAAGAGGCACGCGGTGACGAGCGCCGCCTGCAGCGCCTCATCGACGGCACGCCGTACTCTTACACGTGCTATTTGTCCGTCTCCGATGCCTCTGCTGGCGGAGTCGCTTTCCTTGTGCCTGGTCACCCTGAACTTCAGCCTGTTCCTGACGCCCTTAAGCCGGTGTGCGTTTTGCACCCGATTGTCACAGGCCGTGCCGCCGCCCTCTTTATCTCTTCTCCTGCACACGATCATAGCATGTGCGTGCTCAACGTGCATAATCACGATTTGTCCGCTCTGGAGGTTAGCGATATCGAGAGCTTTTGGGCTCAGCAGACAGCGCGCGCGCAGCAGCACGAGCGCACCTTCAAGTTTTTAGCCCTCGGTGATTTTAACATCTCAGAATCCCCTCCTCGCTCCTATCGTTCCCCCGTTCAGTCTCCTTCTCGTCCCGCTCCTCCCACTACCCTGTCAGTCATAGACAACCGCGGCCAGCACATGCAGGCTCGCTGGAAGCGCATGTTCAGTACCATGACTGAGCTCACAAACGATATTCCTACTCGTTTCGACTCCCATCGCCTCCAGGTCTCGTGCATTGACCGTTTTTCCTCTCAGGCCCCGCCCCGCAGCTCGTGCTTCTAGATGTCGCGCTCCAGATTGCACACGAGAGCACGCGCTTGTCGGACAGAGGCTTATCGGATCACGCCATGCTGCTGCTCAAGATCCGCCCCTCTGCTCCGCGTGCGCAGCAAGAGCGAGTGATCCCACCGTATCTGTTCAAAACGGATGAGTTTCGCCAGCATTTCGCTTCCATGCTTGCTCATGCCGGCTTTGACCAGTTGTCTGCGGTCACCGCCTGGCAGAGAATTAAAGCTGTCATGTGCGAAGCTGCCGCTCTCACCAGGGACCGGCTGCAAGGCCCCGAGCACCTCCACTCGGCGCACCCTGATGCACCCATCACGCGAATGTACCTGTTCAGGCCCATGGCTCGCGCACTCTGGCGCAACGACGCGCACGCTGCGGCACGTCTCATTGCTTTCTCTCCCCTCGCCTCCTCTCACCTCGTCGTCGTCGGCAGTGTCGCTTCTCTCCGTGATCCTCCTTCGTTTCATGCTCAGTGTGATGTTGCGAATGATGAGTGGCACCAGTTTCGGGCTCTGCAGGCTAGCATGCGAGTCTCTCAATTCGACGAGTTCGGACGCCATAAAGATGAAATGCTGCAGCGCAAGATCGAGCGCAAAGCAGCGCGGCGCGCGCGTCTGTGGACCCCCTGGTCCAGGCAACTTCGTCTCGAGGGGGTTTGGGTGCATGTTCACGCCGATGCCGGCTCCCGGGGGCCGGCAGAGACCGTGCGCATTAGCGATGATGACATCTTCAAAGCCGTGCAATCCCACTGGCTTCCTGTCTTTTTCTGCTCGTCCGTCTTCTGACCCTGCCTTCCGCGAGTTTCTCTCCTCTGTCCTCCCTCCTGCTCCCACCTGCGACGCCCCCCATGCCCAGTGAAGCAGCGCTTGTCCACGCTCTCATAATAGCGAAGCCTAGCGCTCCTGGCCCTGATCGTCTTCCTTACTCTGCCTTGCTCTCGCACCCGCTAGCCGCCGCCATCTTGCATCGCGTCCTTGAGCATATTTACTCGGGAGGTTTTCTCCCGTTTGAGGCCAACCACTCGCTGTTTGCGTTTCTCCC